GGTTGCCAATGCAGCTGGCAACGAAAAGAGGGCAGAAGGATCGAAAAAATGTGGTGCTCCCCAAGGCGACACGCTTGGTCTAATGAAACCAAGTTTCAACAATTCTTGAATTTGAGTTTTTAACTCTTGCAATTCTCGTGGTGCCATCCGATATGGTGCCTTCGACACAGGCGCTGCTCCAGGAACAAGATCAATTGTGAACTCCACTTGCCTGTTGGGTGGTCTTCCTGGTAATTGGTCCGGAAACACATCAACGAACTCACGAACAATTGGAACATCATGAGGTGTTTGTGCTCTCAAATTTTCGTCAACAATGCTCACCAAATATCCTTGACAATTCTCCCGTCTTATAATCTTCCTTGCCTTCGCCATAGAAATCACCCGAGGCAATGTTCGCGTCTTCGAGCCGTAAAAAAAAATTTGATCCTCCTCCGAAAGATAAAGAATTACCTCTCGGTCATGACAACGAATATCAGCATGGTAACGTGTTAGCCAATCCATACCGAGTATGAGGTCAAAATCCCTCATCTCGATAATGTACGCGCCGACCTCCAAGATTCGTCCTCCAATATTGAGTCTAAGGTTATCTGCCTTAGAACTCGTCACTATTTTCCGTCCTGAGGCTAAGCTTACCTCAAGAGGGTCAACAGTGTTAATGAATTTAGCTCCTATGATTTCTATACATCATTTTGACACGAACGAATGCGTCGCTCCCGTATCAAACAAAGCAAAAATAGGAATATCGTTCAGAATAATCATCCCAGACATAGTACCTGGGTTCTGTTCTGCCTGAACTTGCTCCACAGCATACACTTGAGCTTGAGGTGCCCTCTGCTGCTGAGGCTGCCCCTGATTCCTCTGCTGCTGCCTATCTGGACATTCCTTGAGATTATGACTAGGTTTCCGACAGAAAAAGCAAATATTCTGCCTGCTAAACATTCTCCTGGATGACTACGTCCACATTTGCCACAAGCTGGAAATTGTGGTCGGTTAGCTTGCTGCTTCTGTTTGTTATTATTTTGGGGACCTTTCTACTTTCTCTTATTCTTATCTTTAGCCTGCTGAACAGGCATGGGCTGCACTGGTGGTTGTGCTGAAACTTGAGCAGTTGGCTGCACCTGGACTTGGCCATCACCCCTCCGGAAACTTGCATCTACTTCTTGAGCCTTGACAACTATATCAGCATAAGTCTGAATACAGTGTCCAGCTACATGGTGACGGATTGCTGGTAGTAACCCGTCTTGGAATCGCCTTGCCTTTTTAGCCTCTGTGTCCACCAGATATTTGACAAAAGATCCCAATCTAGTAAACTCTCTCTCATACTCATCAACTGTACGATTTCCTTGTTTTAATGCCAAGAATTGACATTCCATCTCAGCCCGATAGTGAGCTGGATAGTATTTCTCTTCCATCATCTCCTTGAACTGCATCCAAGTGAGATTCTCCTTCTCCCCAGGACGCATGCCCCAGTAAGAGTTCCACCATACCCGGGCATCTCCGGTCATTTGCAATTGAGCACATATAATACGCTGCCTTTCTGTGCATTCAGTGATCTCAAAAATGGTTTCGAGACCCTGAATCCACTCCTCCACTAGACGAGGATCTCCTTGTCCTGAGAATTTCTCAAGATTGTACCCAGGAATTGAGTAACGACTTCTGATGTCGTCATCTCTCTTCGAGCTTGGGGTGCCATCTAAAATTTATCGTAAAAGATAAACTTTTAATACACTCAGAAAATGTATACTTAATTCTATGAATATTGAGCATATAATCTGATTTATAAAATTTGGATATCTTATCGAGCATAGACTTAGTAATTTGCATATATTTAAACTTTATAATAAAGAAAACTTTAACAACACTTACCTGATAATCGGCGAGGTGTGAGTGTGGTGTGGTCGTCTTTTATTGAAACTTTCTCTTCAAAACTTAATCTTTTAGTATACAGAACATTTGAACTTTAGCTCTGATACCAACTGTAACACCCCGCTTATCAGAGTAAATTTTTCGCAACTTATTTCAAAAATACTTATAAATTTTTCGAAACCTTCTTAACTCGGGATGCTACTAACTTATCTACTTTAAAAATCTGTTTACTTAAACTTTATCTAACAACTAAGTTAGACATAAATAAAACAGATTTTAAACATTGAACAAATATAAAACTTAACAGTTCATACAATCATCTTGATAAATCAACCTTTAAAATCACACTTGTTCAAATCTTAAAGAAACGTAGCGGAATATCTTACAAGCGTGGTTTACAAACCGAAACCTTATTGAAAATTCTCAATAAAAACTTATTCACATCCACGACCACCACAGCTCCTCACACCTGCGCGCCGTCTTTATTTCCTGAAAAATGATAATAGTGGGGCGTGAGTACTAATCCACTGTACTCCGTAAAAACCCATACTAAAGTAGACATTAATAATAATATCAATATCATGATCTTTGGTATATATATCTGAGCTTAATCTTCCGGTATCTGACCAGTAACTTTAACTTGAACTTTGCAACTACCGGTAACTTGGGCCGGTTCTCACGTGATCACATTCTGGGGGTCGCCTCCCACAGAACCCAGTCTCGACTGGACGAGCTTAATACTTTACTTAACTTTATACATACCTCGAACATGATAATAGCTATTATACTCAATGTAATACTCAGTCTGGGTCCCCACCTTTCTTCTTGAAAAACTGTTTGTAAGTGTTGTTCTCGTAGCCGACTTGTAACGCTTCATAAAAATATAAACAAATATACTAAGTACTATGCTCGAATACTCAATAAGATACTGAGATTCTTAACTTTAAATGTTAACTTATAACTTATTATAAACATGCTATATCTCAAATAAATTCATTGTATGCCATAACTCATTTTAATCATACTTGATAAAACTTAGATATTGGCTTAAAGATAACTCAAATTATACATAAACTCAAATATACTTATCTTTTGCCAACATCATCCTCATGAATTGTAACTTACTAAACTTGTCTTAATTGGTATTACTCATAAAACTTAACTTTAAATCATAACACCAAAAGTAAAAACAATTTATGAAATATGCATTCTTAACATATTAAACTAAACTTATCATAAATGCTTAAAATTTATACTTTTATCAACTTACTCATCATGAACATTTCATATCAACATCTCTTAAAACTTTTACATCATATATGCCACTTAATCAATTCTCATTTTAATATCATGACATCAATTTTCATACTAACTTCAAATTATATCAAAATCTCCATTCTAATTAAAATCATACTAAATAATCCTTATATCATTAAAGCATATAACAACTTGAACTCAACATGACAATCATAACACTTAAAATGCATACTAACAACTTATTTAACATGAAATCAAAATGACCATGAACTTAATATGAGCATAAATTTTCACATAAGTGAATTACCTCCTTCAAGGACTTGCTCTTGAAAATTTATTCCTTCCACTTAAAAATGTCCTCCCTCCACTATAATTATCACTCTACTCCTTAAACTTGGAAATATTTTTGGTGTGAAAATTTCAGATTCTAAAGGCCCTATTTATAGCCAAAATTTTGGAATAATTTATTTGGAGTGTAGAAATTAACAAATTAAACAATTTAAACTTCTAAAATTTAATCAACTTAAATAAATCCTCACCTAACAATTCAAATTATCAGCTAACATAATTAATAGCTAAAAAATCATATTGGTTGGCATTAAATGTAAAATCTCAAAAATCTGCATTTTTGTCGGCAACACGACCCGTGTCACCTAGTGACACGACTCGTGTGACCTCACAAGACCCGTGTCACTTAGTGACACGACTCGTGTGACCTCACACGACCCGTGTCACTTAGTGACATGGCTCGTGTCACAAAACCGAAGCAAAACTTTAATAACATCTTGAGCCACACGACCCGTGTCACTTGTGACACGACCCGTGTGGCTTAAAAACTTTAATTTCTAAACTTATTTACCCTCAAAATCTCTTGGTTTTGAAGATAACTGATACTTAACTGAATGGGATATTACACAAAACCTAATTCATAATTTCACTTATGTATTATATATGATTTATATAAAAATAATTAAATAAGATTGGGGAGGGGAGGGGCGGGAAAAAGGACCCGGACGTGGTCTGCTTAGTTAATAGGTCGGGCCAAGACCGACTCGTTTTAGAAACGGGGCAAGTTTGGGCCGCCCCAAATGCTTCGGGTCGGGCCAGTTCGGGCCAGGTCCAGATTGTTTTACCATCTCTAGGTATATGTAGTCAACTTAGTTGACGTATCAGAATTTAAAATATTTTTTTTAACCCAAAAAATTCTTCAACTAAATTGATATTTTAAATTAATGATATGTGAACTAAGCTCAATTCCAATTTCTCTAATCCTCTCCTCATTTTTATTTATAATAAAAACCGGCTCGTCCAGACCGAAACCGAAGTCGGACTGAACCTGCCCGCCCGGACGAAAATCGAAATTGGATTGAACCCGCCCTGAACCACCGGTTTGGCGAACCGGCCGGAACCGCCGGTTTGGCCAACTTACCCGTATCTACATACGAGCCGGTTCCGGGCCCGTGTTTTCAAGCCCGTTGACCAGCCTGTCCGGGCCGAGTCATGACCCGGCCCGCCATTTTGCCATGACTAGTACCAGCTGTTGAACCTTGTCGTCATGATACATGATACAAACCTGAAGCATGCATCTTTAGGAATTAGCCCTTATATTTACCCCTATGTTCATTCTTGAAACACATCTTTTACTTACTAACTGCTGCTACAACATAGCTTAACATACATTATGAAACTGCAGGACAACTATAAATCTTCAATTGTACCCTCAGATTAGCCTGCACTGCAGTAAGAACGAAATTTTTGTAGCTCAAACTAGGGATTGTTTTAACATAAAAGAAAATTCAATACATCCTCAGCAAAGAAAAAAGGAGAAAAGGGAATTAATGTTAATTAAAACGCATCCCATCCGTGTCAGCTTCTCACTAACACTCGGCTTCTAATATTTCCGTGTCGACCTCTACATCACGCCTGCACACCAAAAACGAGGGTGGACGGTCGACTGAGAGGGTACCCTCGAGCACCTTAACCACCTCCCCTATTGACGGCCTCAAAAATGGCTGACTTTGCATGCACCAAAACGAGATTCTTGCCATCCTCTCAATCGCCTCAGAACTGTAGTCATCTAAAAACTTCCATTTCTGCTTCACTTGGTTGAGTATGCTCTCCATAGTCTCTCCGTATACTTCTCTCTTGCACGTGAGGATCTGTAGGAACATTAACCCCAAAGCATAAATATCGCGTTCGGATGGGGACTCAGACGACGAGGGCGCTTGTGCTTGTCTCGAGTATAAATCTCGGAGACCAAAATCCGTCAGCTTGGGGACCATATTCTCATCGAAAAGCACGTTTTCCAGCTTCAGATTGCCATGAGTTATGCACTTTTGGCACTCCGAGTGCAAGTAGGCAAGCCCACGCGCGATGCCAAGGGCAATCTCGACCTTTTGCTCCCAAATCCGTCCCCCATCACGATTCTCCTCTACGTCAAGCCACTTGTCCAATGACCCGTTAGGCACAAACTCCCGAAGCAACACCTTATTCGACCCCTCAAAGCAGAACCCCTTGACGGATGCAAGATTCCGGTGGTGGGTGCCGCTGAGGGTCGACACCGTGGCCCGAAACTCCTTCTCCGACACACCTACGTCCGTCAGCACCTTTGCCACAATCGGCGTCCCGTTCGGAAGGGATCCCCGGAAAACCGAAGCCCCGATTTTATCCACAAAGTCGTTCATTAGCTCTTTAGCCTCTTCAAACGAGACTCGGACAAGCATGCTGTAGAGCGCGTTCGCCTGTGCCTCCGGGATTCCCTTCCGGGATACCAAGATTTTTCTTTTCCGGTAGAGAATCGTTAGGATTAGGATCTGGATGGTCGAGACCACGAGTAATGTGACGAGAACGATGAACACGATGGGCCAAATCAAGCGTTTTGCACTACCCTTTCCAAAACCGGGGTCGTGGGCCGAGGCCACGGGCCCGGCGAGGTGCGTGCCGGCGCCCCGGGCGGCAACGGCCTGCGGGACGGAGCATACTTTGAGGAAAGACACGGCACGAACAGAAGGGCCCCTGTAGCCGCTCACAAAGCTTGTCCGCTTCACCTTGCACAGGCCCGACCCATCGTTCATCGAGGTCGCTGCTAAACAGGCTGCATCTTTCAAACAGAAATCCCTACAGCGCATCTCACTAAGAAGCATCTCGTCATCATGGGACGGGTACAGCCCATAGATCACGGTTTGGTTCATGGTTAACACGCTAGCGTGCATCCTACAGTTGCCCAAGTCGGCCAATTTCCAGCACCCGGATCCGCCCAACGGGTTGGGATTCAAACAGTCACACACGGGGCCAGTCGAGTTGTATCCACACACACTATACAAGCCGCAGGATCCAAACACACTGCATTGGTCCTCAACCGCCTGCCACACGGGCTTCCACGCCCGGCCCACGCGGTCCCAAGAGTAAATCCTCAGGTTCCCGTCCCGATCTATCCTCAGGTGTCTCAG